TTCATCTCTAGAATTTTTTATTTTATTTTGGAGATCCAACATCAAATTAATCCACTCACCTTATTTGGAAAACAGACTGCTAAAAACAAAGGGAACTCTGAATATATACTTTCTAGATCTGAATGAATGAATTAAATTTTCTGTTTGAATACTTTGTTCTGTACAAAGGCGAATGTGCCAACAACAAAAATCACTAACATCATCAGTGGAAATCAAATATATTAACCTTTGGAGCCCTGGATTTGAAGTCACACAAACTTAAAGTAGAAATCACACTACAGGCTGATCTAACTTTGTAATGTTCTTAGAACAGGTCAAAATAGGTTATGTATTCTTTGTGAACTCCCTACAATGCCCGGGCAGGCTCCTGATGAGCGGATGGAAGGTCTCCTAAGGGATCTCCCAGACCTAGATGAAAGCATCAACCAACTCCTGGACAGTCTGTGGTGAAATGTGACGACGACGGATGGAGCGAGACAAGATGTTCCAGATGTACACGATCGCATTCAGGTCTGTGGAACGGGCGGGATAGTCCATAGCTTTAATGCCTTCATCATGCAGGAACTGGTCACACACTCCAGCCACATGAGGTCTAGCATTGTCCTGTATTAGGTGGAATGCTGTGGCTACTGCACCAGCATTTGGTCTCACAAGGGGTTTGAGGATCTCATCTTGGTACCTGATTGCAGTCACAACCTCTGGTGAGCACATGGAGGGTTGTTAAGAGCACTATGTGCCAGTGGTGAATTTGCCAGTCATGTTCTCTAGCAAATGCAAAGCATCATGGATGGTGTTGGGCTGTCAGCACAACCCCCATCTGTGGACGTCGGGCCCTCATACCATCCTCATGGAGTTGGTTTCTAGACGTTTGTGCAGACGTATGCACATTTATGGCCTGCTGGAAGTAATTTTGCAGAGCTCTGACAGGGCTCCTCCTGTTCCCTCTTTGCACAAACCTGGAAGTAGCGGTCCTGCTGCTGGGTTGTTGCCCTCCTACAGCCTCTTCCTCATCTGGTTGCGCCCCCAGCCTCTGGACACTTTGCTGACAGACACAGGAAACCTTGCCATGGATCGCATTGATGTTCATCCTGGATGAGCTGCACTACCCAAGCCACTTGAATTCTACAGTCCGAATCATGCTGCCACGAGTATGAAAGCACTACCATCATGAAAAAGTGACCAAAACATCAACCAGAAAGCATAAGTACTGAGAAGTGGTCTCTGTGGTCCCTACCTGCAGAGCCACTCCTAATTGAGTGTGTCTTGCTAATGGCCAAGAATTTCCACCGATTGTCTATTCCATTTACAAAACAGCATGTGAAATAGATTGTCAAACAGTGTTGCTTCCTAACATGACAGTTTGATTTAACTAAGTTTTATTTGATTTAAGTGAACCAAAGAGCCATTTGCAGCCCTGGAATCCTCAGATCTAGCAGCAAATAGAGGACTAAAGATAAAAGTGAAACAACCTAACTTGAAATTATCAATAAAGATATGTAAAAAAAAAAAAACGAATAGTCAGAGAAAATCAGTTTTCATTTCTTTCCATTCTTGTTGATTTATTTAAAAGGTAAAGTACATGTTCATGACTTTTTAAATGTAAATATCACATAATTAGCCCAAAGGCTACTTTACACCTGTAGTCTGTGGCAAATTGATAAGAAAAAAAAAAAACAAAACAAGAAAGGACCAAGCAATCAGACACTACACAGAATAAATAAATAATAATAAAAAAAAATTACAATTGAATAAAGACAGTGGAACATAAACAATACAGCACATATCTGGCAGTAATGTGTCATAAGGCAAAGTGGTTTTAAATTAACTTAACGTAATGGAGTCTTATAGTAGTAAAATCAAAGCCTTAAATTAGATTTTACTAAAAAGTGTTGGATCCTTTAAACACCTGCCAGGCGACCTGTCTCTCTGCAGGTCTTCCTCGGCTCCAGAACGGATGCAGTCTGCTGCGCGTGATTCCTCTCTTGGCATTCACCGCGTGCCTTAATTGTATGGGTAATAAATCAAGGTCCGCCGTGAACACGAGGAGCGGCAATCCGGTATCCCTGTCCGCTACATTAAATGCGGCCTGTGTTTCCCATCAAGTGTGACGTTGAGCGCCGCAGGTGCATCGCTCTGGTCCTGCTCCTGGTCATCTCCGACCAAAGTTGGAGTAGATGACATCATGAAGGACGGCTTGTCCCCAAACGCGGCCTATGTGAGCCTCTCCATAGTCGGTATATATGTGTGCTGAATGTTTAAATAGATGATGTATGTCAAGGTGAGGAGGGGAAGGGGGGAGGCCGGACGGTTGTTCGTTCTGTTGAAGCGAGCAGACCTGCAGATGATGTCCGGTCCGGTTTCCAGTGGGAAGATAATCGGCTTGTCTCCCATTTTGACCTTTAGATGATCTTGAGTCCAACCCTAATTCGGTATATAATGCGTTTCTCCATGTTAAAGATCGTCCCGGCCTTTTCTTTACAGCTGAAGCTGTGACGTCATGACGTGCATTCGTCGTCCGTCTGAACCCCCCTGCTGCGTCTGAACCCCCCTGCTGACGGAACGATGGGATGGACGCGTTGCTCAATCAGCGCCGACCTCAGCTGCGCTGACCAGGGTCCTGAAAGTGAGAATTCCAACAGAGAACCAGTGAATAACAACTTCTGTTCAGTTGGATTGTCCCATACTATACCTTTGGTTCATTAAGTTATAAAGATTTGTTTTACGTGTTTGTTTGCTTGTAATTTATTTTTCATTATTTATTGTTAAATACAAAGACATCTTGAAACTAAACAACAATACAAAATCGGGCCTTTTTGCTAAATTTCGACCACTTTAACCGGTGAAAATGTCCGTTAATTTTAATAGGGTGTTTTTAACTCAACCATTTTTATTTTATTTTTTATTGTTTGTTATAACGTATTCTTTTGCAGCCACTACTTTAAACAAAAAAAAAATACGTTGTACAACAGTTGTATCTTATTTTTCCTTTTAAAGACCTCTTCAAAAACCTCCCTCCACAGAGGGACTACTCCAAAAAATATGGAAGCGGTCAGCCTGCACTGAAAAAAATAAAATAATTTAGGCATTTAATCACATTTAGTTACTCTTACACAGTTTTTTTTTATGTCCTACCCTGCTAACATGAAACATTTGTGTTAAAGTAACTAAATGTGATTAAGTAAATGCCAGTTGCATTATTTTTTCAGTGTGTATTTGACCAAAATTATCTCCAGCAGTTGTCTAAATCAGAGAATTTTGATGTCTAAGCTGGAGTACCCATATCTTGAATCAAGTTTTTCAAGCTGACTCTCCTTCAATATGTGACACCTAATGTTGTCCATCACGGTTGTTTACAGATTCCGTCAAAGTCCTCTATTATATATGGTTGTGCTTGAAAGTTTACATACCCTCCCATAAAGAAAATGATAAATTCACACTAGCAATTCAAATAAAACAAAACACAAATAAAAAAGTCATTATAAATACAAATTTACTAAATGATAATTTGGTGAAATTAAATATTGATTTAGATTTTTCATTTAAAACAAAAAGTCTAAAAAGAAACTGTTGCATACAAATTAAAGTACCTTGCTTAGGAACAGTGAACCAACATACCTGTCAACAGGTGCAGAACTCTTTATTACAGAAAACACGTGATTTCAGTGATTGCCTCAAAGTGTTGCTAAACCAAATTTTAGTTATTGAGGTCCATCGGGCTTGTTTTATTTATTAATACACACACACATCCATATATATATATATATATACATTTTATATAATTTTTATTTGTTATTACTTTTTTCAATTTCTTTTACTGGCAGCTGATTATTTTCAGTCTTTAATGGAAGGGTATGTAATCTTTCAAACACAAAAGTATACTAAGTTGTAAATGTATATATATTTATTTATATATATCTTTTTTTTTCATGCAGTGTAAGTCCAAACTTTTCCCTAAGGTCCTGGAAGCTTCTAAAACCCCCTCTCTTAGAGAAGGGCGTTTTATATGTTTTTAATGGGGTTTTACAATGCAAGCTGGAAAATATATTTCAAAGATGCAGAGTTAAGTAATGCTTTATACTTATTATTATCGTTTTGTTATTTATTCTTGTACAATAATGACTGTCATATTATAAAACATAATTATTAAAGTTTGCCAGTTTACAAGTTTAAAGGTGATTTGTGGATAATAGAAATATGAGGCTGCATTCTTATAAATGTTGCAACAGACCTAAATTAGTCTCCATCTTTTCATTCTAGAATCATTATCAGTGGACTTGGAATTGGTTGAATATAGAGCCTCAAATACTGTGTTCAGATTTAGGATATTTAAACTGCAATGAAAAGCTATGAGATTAAATGTTATAGCTAACTACAACTAGGTGAAAAGTGAATATGATTGGATGTTGAAATTGGAGCTGTAGAAAAAAAAATGCAGGGTGGTTTAAGCTTATTTCACTGTTTTAAAAAACCCATAGCAATTAAAGGAAAACACGAACCATTGGCTTGCTCATATAATAAATACCATATTAAAAAGATAAATAAGAATGTACACATTTATATAGTTAAATACAATGTTACAAGGATTCACACAACTTGACATCAAACAGAAAAAACATGTTTGCACCTAATTGAATCTTTTTGACATCTTATTTTGACAAAGACAAACCAAGATAAAGACACTGGTTCTAATGTTAAGTAATGCGCTGAGTAGCATTTAAGAAACTAGAGTTAGAACTGTAAATTGTAGAGAACAATTTTACAGTAAATATGTTTGGGGAGGAAACCAGCCATTAAATGTAAAAAAAAAAAATAATAATAATAATTTTTAGAAATGTTTAAGTTTTATGTATATTTATTGAATAATAATCCTATTTTACTATCAGGCTAGGACATAATTACAGTTTTTTTGTTGCAGGTCGCAATTAATGCATCAATGCCTGGATAAGATTATTAGCTAAATGTTTGGTCAAAGTGAAGACAATTAGCAGTGGGAGAGTGTAAAAGATGAATATTCTATGAGTTGGATGGAATAATACAGTAGACTTAGAGACAAAAATGAAGCAACCAGAGGCAAAAGTGTAATCTCAATTTAATCTGGTAGGCAAATAAATGTGATAGTTAATTCAGGTTGCAAATGAGAGCATTATTAGGTGAGCACTTCTTTACAGGCAGTTATTAAGGCATCCAATAGTCAGCTAAAACAGTGAGGGACAGTCAGCGGGAATGTTTTTTAAACACATTACACAGTAATACAAGTAGGGATGCACAAATTGTACGTTCCTGGTCGATCACCGATCCTGAGCTTTAAAAAGAATAATAAATAAATAAAAGCTTTGTAAACAACTGCTGTCATATAAATCAAAGTTCAGAGCACTGACTGTGCGATGTCCAGACCGTTAGAGAGGTAGATAAGACCGAAGGAAAAGATTTATTTCTCATCTAAGTATCGGCTGATCACAGAGCTCTCAAAATTTAAGAAATTAGGGCCAATTAATTGGCCAGCGGATCAATCGGTGCACCCGCACAATCACTTGGCCGAGTCTAGGGAACACTTGGTAGGTTTCTACAAGATCATTTTGAATTTTTTGCAGCTGTTCTACAAAATATGTCAATAAGAACCTCTATCATAGTGTTTTACCGTTTCGTATGTTTCTATGTGTTCTTCTCTTCCAGATGATGTTGATTGTCCTCACCTAACCTTAGCACTCATACTCTCAGGAGTTTGTGTTAAACAATGTAGCTCAATGGAAATCCTGTCATTTACATTTGCATTGCTGCTGTCTGTGTAGCAAACTGGGTCCAAATCAGAGCATTTCCTCAGGATCTGATGTCAGTAAGTTCATACTGTCTTCATCTCTCAGTTGACCAAATAGGTTGGAGTTCTGCTGTTATCACTTCATACATTTCCTCAGTTGCTTTTTGGAAATTTAGCAGATATGTTATCTTTGATATATATAAAGCATCTATGAGGTTTCAGGGATGTAAATCAGTGACTTAAAAAGCTTAAAAAGCTGGTAAATAGTGCTGACTTTGTTCTCTCTCTGCAGATGATTGTGCAAAGAAGGAATATTCATAAAAAGAACATTAGATAGTCACAAGAATCCTCTTCCACAGACAGTGTCTTCAGTTGGACAATTCTTTAGAACCATTGTAATACTGACCTCGAAGAAAGATCTGTCAAGCCCACAGCGTCGCAATTTGCAACTCTTTTAAAAATCTTGCACAGTTTTTTTTTATTTATTTCCCTTTGGGATTAATAAAATTTGAATTAAAATAAATATAAGTTCTCGGTATTAAACCACAATGATTGTGCAATTCTCCTGCAGGTCGACACGTTGAGCATCTCCAAAGATGAGGAAGATCCCAAGGCCTGTGATATTTATTAAGGTGATGAGGGAGAAAACTGTGGCCCACGACAAAGTGACCTCGATTATGTAGCCAGAGAAGGACACCAGAACCAGACCTGCTCAACACACAGCAGAAACTCCACATCAGTGACCAAACTTAGACAAGTACTTTTCAACAGTATCAGTAGATTTCAGATCTGGTTACATACCCATTAAAGCTCCCATCATATTCATAAATCCTATTAAAAAAGGAAGACATTTGGAAAAAAAAAATCCAAAAGGAAATAATGAATGAATTAACAAATATCTGAATGACAAAAAAAGGAGTTTTAAAAATAGAACCTCACCATAGAGGGCACCAGCACATGATGGAGTGAGATCCTGCACATTTACAGACACACCACTGAAAAGCATAAAACAGCAATAAACATGTGACCACATTTGTGTAATGGTGGATAAAGTTCCACTTTCCATGGATTAGACGTCATTTTTATACTTTCCTCACTGCAAGTGATGGTAGCTCAAATAACGTACCCTCCGGTGAAGGTGGTCAACCCGACTGCAGCAGAAAGGAAAACCACAGCAGAAGTAAAGTGGACAGCTCCAGACAAAGGCAAGATAAACATGCTGGAAAGGCCCATGGCACCAACCTGCAGAAAAAGATCCGGGGGTGGAGTTTGCA